AGAACGCCTGATCTCGGAAGCTAAGCAGGGTCGGGCCTGGTTAGTACTTGGATGGGAGACCGCCTGGGAATACCAGGTGCTGTAAGCCTTTTTGTGCAGCAGAGGGTGCTGCTGCTCCCTTTCGGCTACGCGTCCCTCAATGTTTTGCCCCCACATAGAAGCACTGCGAAGCCGACATGCATTAATTCTTCAGGCCAAACAGAAAGCAAGCGCCAGCTGGCTGATCTGCTGTACAAAACGCTGGAGCTGACGCTGCTTTGCGGCTTACGGCCACACTACCTTGAGAACGCCCACGCTGGTGTCAAGTTTGCAGGAAGGCACAGCGGTGGGAGCACCGTCTTTTGGATTTTTGATTCCAATTCCCCCATTTTTGCTCTTTTTCTCGTGTGGATTTCCCTCCCCACAGGGTTCTACTCTTGGGGAGTGGTTTTTAGTTTCTCTTTTTTTGTCATGGAGTTTTCAAAAGACAAACGGACGGATCCCTCAGTTATGGATAATTTGGAAAGGAACAGGAATACGAGCATGGAACAAGTGAAGACGTTAGGAGTATTTGAAAAAGATAATACGGTTCAGCTTGAAGTTGTCGGGGAGGAGAATATTTCGGTGCTGGATTTAATGAAAAACACGGTTTTTGTGTGGAGGTCTGCTAGCATGTCGATTGCTAACGGACAGGAAATTTGAAATCACGTTAATCAACGAAAAAGCAAAAAAGAGACTTTTAGACGGTTTTAAGATTGGATCATCCACAATACATGTCAAGGAACTTATTAACGATGAACTGGTGGTTTCTTTTTTGACGTTGCCTGCCTACATCACGGATGAAGAAATATTAAGCAAGCTACATACTTGGGGAGTCAAAGCGGTATCGGTAATCAAGCGTCGGGTGTGGCCGGGAACCAAAGTCGCCGATGGAACAAGGTTTGTGAAAGTCAAATTTAATGAAACTGTACAGTCTCTGCCTTATTCTTTTAGATTTAACACAGCTCTTGGTCCAGAATATTTTAGAGTTATTCATGATAGACAGGTTAAAGTCTGCAGGATATGTTTACAACCGGGCCACATTGTCAGGGACTGTCCTGATTTTTGCTGCCACTCCTGCGGAGTCCAGGGGCATTATGCGAGAGAATGCTCGGAAAAAAACGGGAAAAGAATGTCAGATCTGTCATAATCAATTAAATAACTATTTGCAATCTAAGCGATTCAGATGATCAAGATCAGGGTCTGACAATGAATCGGGAAGAAGCCGATACGCAAAGCGCAGAGAGTGAAATGGAGGGGGAAGAGTATGAGCAAGGGGAGGGAGGTGAGGAGGAGCAAAGCGAAGGCATTTTAGGCGCTGAACAGCCTGTCGTTGGTATGCCGTGCACGGAGGTGACCGGTGTGCTGGCGAAGTGGACGCGGAGTGCGCCGTGCACGGAGGTGTCTGGTGCGCTGGCCGTGGGCGAAGTAACTGAAACCAGTAAAAGCACGGCCGAGGAGGAGGGGGGAGAAGTCGCTGCTCCTCTTTTCCCCGTGATGGAAGGGAATTCGCAATTTCTGTCATCAAATCACCTGCCATCCTTTCAAACCCCGGTAAGCGCTTTGTCGCAGAGGCTCAGAATAGTGGAAGATCCGGAGTCAGACCCTGATCTTGATCTAACAAAAATTATAAACACAAGGAAAAGATTAGCAACATTGGCAACAAAACCCAAACGAAAAACTAAGAAATGATTATGACAACACTTCTCCATTTAAACATTCATGCTGCTTCTCTCGCTTAATGCCCGTGGGCTCTGCAGGGAAGAAAAGGTAAACGCTGTCATTTTTCAGTCGCACTGTGATATTCTCTGTTTACAAGAAACAAAGTGGGATATTTTAAAAGAAAAAGAGATGTCACAGAAATGGAAAGGGAAAATGTTTTCATCCATATCAAGTACTCAAGCGGGTGGGGTTGCTATTTTCGTAAGGGAGGGTCTGTTTAATAATTGTCATTTAGTTCACAGGGATCAGCAGGGCAAATTCATCATAATAG